CTGCGGGTCACTCTTAGGTGACTTGTGCGCCATGCGAGTTCCGGGCTTTTTTGAGCTTTTTGGTGTTTCCCGACTTTCCCAGACTTGTATTTTTTCACCATTTCGTGTATTTGGTCGTCGTGTTGACTTGTACGCTTCGCTAATGCGCTCGTTAGCTTCTTTATGGTAATTGGAGCTGACCGACAAGCATGATGGTCAATTGGAGGTAGCCGGTGAGCGTACGAGACACAGTTGGTTCGCCATTTCGGTTCATGCACTTGTCAGTGTCAGATAATCCTCTTAGACTCGGATAACAACGTTCGTTATCTTCTATCCGTCTCGAGCTGTGTGCGGATACCTATATGTATTTTTAGACGCCTACAGATACCCCCTCTAAAGTATTTTAGACTCATTCTTTTATAGAAGAGTCTGGAATGCTTTAGATAAGATAGACTCTTCCCTCAATTTCGTAGAGGGACCTGTAAACTGCTTCAATTCTTAACTTTTTCAGCCTTCAGTCTATTCAGTATTTTATTGAATAGATAAAGTTCTTCCGGCGCTGTGTTTATCGTCTGACCGTTGTCGAAATCTTGAACTGAAGTTGATGCGTAAGTTTCTGAATTTAGCTGTTTATCGTCTGACCGTTGTCGAAATCTTGAACTGAAGTTGATGCGTAAGTTTCTGAATTTAGCTCGTGTTATTGAGTTCTGACCGTTGTCGAAATCTTGAACTGAAGTTGATGCGTAAGTTTCTGAATTTAGCTCGTGTTATTGAGTTGACTTTGAACTGATCATCTTTGTCAGAAATTCATATCTGAATGTGATTGAACTCCCTTGAATCATCCTTTGCCTTATTTTGGTGAAATTATTAATGCGTTGACCGGCATCGACCTTTACTGTAGTGCGTTGACCGGCGTTATCCTTTGTTGTAATACGTTTACCGTCGTTAACATAGTTTATACTCGTACGTTTGCTGGAGTCTACACAGTTTAAGCTCTTAAGGCGCTGGAACACGACGGTCCCAAATGTTAGGGTTGCAGGACTAACTGTTAAAGTTGTTTCGTCTACAGATATGGATCTTTTCCCGAAGTTGTTGGATGCTCAAGTTACGAGACCAACTAATAAAGCTGATGCATCAATGACTTTCGCATATATAGGATTTTTGGCAAACTCTCAGCCATCAACGTGTTTGATTTATCTTTACCGACTAGCGTTTGAATCGGACTAGCGTACGAATTGTTTAAGTCCGTTTCGCACGTAACGTTGTGCTAAGAGAGTTAACTTTATTAGTGCTACGATATTAAATACGTAGACTTCGTCTTTCTCACATGAAAAGACTAAACAGCGACTCGTGTTAGGCGTAGACTTAGGATTTTTGGCCAATCCTTAGCCATTAATGGATTTAACATGCCTTTACTGACTACCGTTTGAGTCGGACTAGCATGTGAATTGTTTAAACCCGTTTTTATATGTAACATTGTGCTAAAAGAGTTAACTCTCTTAGTGCTACAATATTAAATATATAGACTTTGTCTTTCTTACGGGAATAGACTATCCAGTAACGCGTGTTAGGCGCTGACTTATCTCTATTTAGGAGTCGAGATAAAGTTCCCCGCGCATGTAAGACGCGGATTATGGTGTTATTAATAACAACCTGCCATAATGTCGAATATGTGGGCTTTTGTTCTTTTTACGGTCAAGAACTAACCGGCAACGCGTGTTAGGCGCTGACTTCTCCATACTTAGGCCTCAGGATAAAAGTCCTCAGACTCAGATTCTGGTGTCTTCTTCAATCAGTAAAACACTAAACCGGCAACGCATGTTAGGCATTGACTTATCCCTACTTAGGATTCAGAATAAAATTCTCTGTACATTTTATGGTCAAGAACTAACCTGCAACGCGTGTTAGGCGCTGACTTATCCCTACTTAGGTTTCGGGATAAAAATCCCCAGACTCAGATTCTGGTGTCTTCTTCAATCGGTGAAAGACTAAACCGGCAACACGTGTTAGGTATTGATTTATCCCTACTTAGGATTCGGGATAAAATTCTCCGTACGTGTAAGGTACGGATTATGGTGTTATTACTACCAACCTGCCACAATATCGAATATATGTACTTTTGTTCTTTTTACGGTCAAGAACTAACCGGCAACGCGTGTTAGACGCTGACTTATCCCTACTTAGACTTCGGGATAAAAGTCTCCAGACTCAGATTCTGGTGTCTTCTTCAATCAGTGAAAGACTAAACAGACAATACGTGTTAGGCGTTGACTTATTCCTACTTAGGATTCGGGATAAAATTCTCCAGACTTAGATTCTAGTGTCTTTTTTAATCGGTGAAAGACTAAACCGGCAATGCGTATTAGGCGTTGACTTATCCCTACTTAGAATTTGGAATAAAATTTCTCATGCGTGTGAAGTACGAATTTTAGGAGTTATAATGTTGAAAGATTATGTCTTCTCTTGGGGCAAAGACGAACCCGATGTGGGAGAGGAAGAATTTTATATTCTCTCCCCCAAAGCTGAAAAAAAAATTTATATTTTATCTCCAGTTGCAAAGAAAACTCAAAGTGGGGTCTCCACTTCGAGAATCTGAAGAGTGAAACTAAGAGTGGGATCTCCACTCCGGGAATCAAAAAGATTCAGATAATCCTAACTGTCGGAAGGTTTGATTGGTTAATTTCTCGTTTATCGAGAGTGAATTGTGATTTTGACCCTAACTGTATGAAGGTATGACCAAACTAGAGTTTAAGGTGACCATAACTGTAGGAAGGTTTGATCACTCGATTTGAAAGTGGACCTCTCATTCATGGAAGGAATCGAGAGGAGATTTTGGCTTTGGCCCTAACTACAGGAAGGTTTGACCAAATGGGGGGGGGGGGTTGAGCGATCCTAACTGTTAAAGGTTTGACCGTTCAATTTGCGAACCTCTCGTTCATGGAAAGAATCAAGATGAGATTTTGGTTGTGGTAATTGTTTAAAGGTTTGACTAAGTGGGAGTGAAAGTGGACCTCTCATTCATGAAAGGAATCGAGAGGGGATTTTGGTTTTGGCCCTAACTGTAGGAAAGTTTGACCAAATGAACAGTGAGAGTGGGAGTATAAATTACAGTGAGAGTGTTGATTCATACAAATCACTCAAATGGAGTTACTGGTGTTAAGTGACAAATACTTAACACGGAGGGGTTTGACAATTGTTAATGATCAGGAGATTAAAATTTTGAGTACTATGTCTAGACTCTAACAATGAGAGTGTTGAGTGCACAGACGTAGCGGGAGTTTGAGTGGGAGTTTCTTATTCACCACCTTCTTGTAGTGACCGGGTTATCCCTAAGAATACACTATATAGAATTCTTTCGGGAACTTCCCGTTACATGAATTATCCACCCACAGCTTTTTGTAAAATTGGGTCTGATATTGAACTCAGTTGCGTGATCTAGTTATCCTTAAGAATATTATGTATAAAATTCTCCAGGAACTTCCCGTCAAAGGTATGAAACATTTTAGACTTATATACCTATTAGAGTATGCAGGGAGCAGTTTAACCTCATGCATCTGTTGGAGGATCGAGAAGCAGTTTATACTCGTGTATTCTTTGGAGTGTAGGAAGGAGTAGTTTATACTCTTATACCTGTCGGAGTCTTCATTCAGCTTAATTTAGCGTTATGACGCCGGCTTCAACCAAGGTTTGGATGCTATTCTTGAGAGCGAAGCAAGCCTTGATAGGATAAAGGATCCTCCTGTGGTATGCATAGTACTTTGGATCCGTAGTATTGTCAGCTTCCTCCTGATCTGCGATAGGTGGTAGCTTGATCTTGTTATTTTTAAGGA